CATGCTTGATAAACTCAATAATATATCCCATCATTGTGAATGAATTGAAAATGGGAACATATTTTTTCCATCAGTTTGTTTGAGTAATAAATATAAATACTGTATATTCATTGGTCTGATTATTCACAGCATTTTTCAGAGGTAGAGTTACGTCAACATTCTACATTGCTAAGGCATACCACTGTACTATATATTTCTACGAGTTCTGTGCAAGCTGCTGTGGAAACCAATGAAAACAGCCAAAGTCAATAAAACAATACAATGTCAACTTTGAAGTAATTCTCAGCAATCCAAATTTATATAATGTATGTTGCACACGTAGGGGTAATCTTATTACACTTGTTTAGGAGAGTTTCAACAACTATCAGTTTTCCCGAGAGTTTTCAGTCTTTGTTTTCACTCTGATGGTTGCCAGGTGGTAAAAATACCTGGATGTCTGCCCTGAGAATATACACATATACAGTACAACCAATTATTCATCCCATAATAATAATAATAATATAATGGTATTCACATAGTAAATCAAATGACAACATTTGGAATATCGATCCATAGATAAAAATGTGTTCCCACACATTGATTAGTGATTCACAGATATTTTATATTAGGAAAATATTACAAATATGTTTGTTTTTTTCACTAATGGCATGTCATAATATTTTCCTAATAACAGCTTGTCTCTTTGCATGATTCATCCATACTTGTGAATGGTGCATGCTGCAATGTTCTAACTTTATTCACAGGGTTACAAAATGTACAAACGAAGAAAGCTTTATCCAAGTCGCAAACGCTGGCTACTTTACATTCTTCCTGGCACATTGCTGGCCATTTCTGGTCTTATTGTATATACCTTTGTGGAAACTACTGAGAACTATCACATCACTCACAGTCTATGGCATGTGTGCATGGCTACATGTATACTTCTATTACTACCTCCAAGAAAAGCTAAGGGCAGTTGTGATGGCTATACTATGGAAGAATTGAATATTGATAATGATTTATGGTCTAGTTCCGCAGATTTGGTAACAGATAACAATTATAACCATAATAGTTGTGTATAGTAAATGGAACATTGACTGTGATTATAATCTGCATGGTTATTAGTATGCTGTTCAATTAATGGATTCATGTACATATTTCTTTATGCAAATTAGCTATTTTCTATTCTTAAACATGTATAAATATAAATTCTGTTTTGTTTTTCCACGTATTGTAATTGAATTCTCGTACTCCAAGTCTGCAATTACTGTTAGTATGTGTGTCTATAACGATGCATGCATAGAAAAACGTAGACAGGCATATTGTTTGTTACTTCCCACCATACTCCTAATATGTAAGGCAGCAACAAAGGTTCTCCAATCCTGTCTGTTTTGAGCTGTTTTCTGGACACTATCCATTCTCCAATCCTGTCTGTTTTGAGCTGTTTTCTGCACACTATCCATTCTCCAATCCTGTCTGTTTTGAGCTGTTTTCTGGACACTATCCATTGACAGTTCTATGTCAGGTGGTCTTGGGTCTTCCCCTTTTCTACATATAGGATGCTATATAGTTGTCTTTTCAAAACATTCCCAATTTAGTTTCAGCTCCGTCTGTTCTCTTACTAGCATTTAGGTAGATCTTGGTTGGTGATGGTATTTTGGAAAACAATCCTACAGGCATATTGCGTTTTTGCTGAAAGTCTATCCCAAACAATTATGAAACATAAAATGTATGACTATAACGCTTTCTTAGATATGAAAGATGACACAATATCCATGATTTTTCTTTCCTCTTGTTGACAATATTCAATTTCAGAATTCCAGTTGTATGTTTTACAAAGCCAATGTGAACATTGCTGTACAATAATATGATAGGACATCAAAATTACTGTTTATCGAGTGTTCACACAATTTCCTATTAAATTCTATTAAGCAAAGCATGTTTCATACATGTTACTAGTAATTGACAGAAACTGCTTTAACTAATAATCTATTTCAGGGATTTTTTTTTAAAAAAGGGGCGCAGCGTCATCAAGCATGGCCAGGCGGATCCTGGCAACCATAACTTTCTGAATGACCAGGGATCACATGTGGCCACAGTCTTCAACTGTGACCTGTCTTTCAGTAATTTTGGTCCCAAGGATGACATAGAATGCACCATTTTAACATAAAACTCCACACCCTGGTAGGGAGAACCCTATCTCCACACCCTGGTAGGGAGAACCCTATCTCCACACCCTGGTAGGGAGAACCCTATCTCCACACCCTGGTAGGGAGAACCCTATCTCCACACCCTGGTAGGGAGAACCCTATCTCCCCCCACTTGGTGGCACCGCTAAATTGCAGTGCTCCCTCTTGCATTTTTTTTTTTAGAAAATCCCCTGTATTTTATCTGGTAACTACATTGAATTAAGGACCTTCCAGTATTTAAATTCAAGTAAACTAAGTGGCCTTTTATTCTTACTGTACAAATGTATCACAAATTATTACTTACAACTATCATGAGACACACTTTATTTATTTTTACTTTTACATCAAGTATGTAAATTATTCATTTGATCTGAAGTTTAATATATTGCTTTCTTTTTTAGATTTTGATTTGATAATAAAATTAGATAATCACTATGCAGTGAATAGATGTATGTAATTTATAACAATTACTCAAAAGTCACTGTATTCATCCAGATTTGGTTTCATTTACATGTTTTAAAATTTACTCTATTTTATGTTATGTAAAGAATGGCTTTTTTAAAAAGATTTTTTTCTATTTTAAACATTTTCATCATTGACCACCATTTTCATCATTGACCACCATACTACTAATATTTGTTGTATTATTTTACATTATAATACATTATTATAATACAAATGGATTTTTTCATTGTTAAATCCTCTATCCAAGCTACTTTACCCAGGCCAGGAGTAACACAAACTTTAAGACATCATGTGTAAGAAAAGTCTATTTCTTACACTAGATACCCGCCGATGTTCATTTCAAAAACATAGTTAAGATTATACAACAACATGAGTTCATAAAACTACTAACTACTGTGTAAATATTATTTACTTATTGTCCAAAAACTGAACCATACATAATGTTATCAAAAAACTTGATCATAAGTTTCTGAAAAACAAATTTAGTGAGTGTATGTATGGGTATTTTATTTCATTCTTCTTTCACACACTACCTAGAGCAAGAAATATTCTGTTTGTTGATATTGATAACACTTATTTAACTTTAACTTTTGGCAAACCAAAATTTCTTGTTTTGCTTGCTATACCTGTAACAAAATTT